ATTAATGGTAATATTTTGAAAATGTTAATAAGTTCACTTTATGGTGGCCTATAGCATACACACTACTAATACTGTCCAGATAGATAATCGCAATTCACGCAAATAAAAATTCAATTAAATTCAAATCAAATTTTATTCAACATATCAATACAATAACTAAATACCGGGATGGTGTCCGGCGGGGGATAGTTTAACTAATTGTAGTTAATAGTAATATACTGTATTTAAGAGTAGTTAAGCATAGCTTAAGGTAGTTAGAGACGCCCTGGGTACGACATTAAACTCCATCCGGTCGAAGCGTCGGCGACTAAACTGACAACCCTCTCAAATTTCTTAGTGGCTGCTGAGGGGAGGGTGTTTATGGTCACCCAGCAGCAAGAAAAACCAATAGCTGAACAAAGGGCGGATGAGCTCCTCGGAGTCAACGGCCAACCATTAATTAGTTTAAGGAATAGGAGTAGTTTAATCTCATTGTTATTGTTATTATGATTATTTTTATTATATTTTATTGTTACTATTTTATTGTTATTTGCTTTTTCTCAGTTGGCCTATATTATTTTTCTGTAAAGCGCATAGGGGCAATGTGCAATATGCGGTATATAAATACAACATTATTATTATATTATAACAAAAAACAAAAAGAAATATCGGATACAAAGACTAAGCATTACAGAGGTAGGGACGTTACTCCACTAAGGTCTTAAAGATCTGCATACCCCACAACAACCGAACTGTGCATTAACGGGTTAAGGAGGTTACGGTACTCCGCTAAGGTCCTAATGACCCGTATACCCCATCCTAACGGAAATATGCATTACTGGGGTGGAGTAGGGGCGTTACCCCACTGAGGTCCTAATGACCCGCATGCCCCACCCTAACCGAACTATGCATTGCCGGCGTAGGGACGTTACTCCACTAAGGTACTAATGACCCGCATACCCCATCCTAACCGAACTATGCATTACCGGGTTAGGGACGGTACTCCACTAAGGTCCTAATGAACCGCATACCCCACCCTAACAAAAGTTAGCATTAACGTGGCAGGAGTGGCACCTGAGGGGGCCGGGGGACCAGGGCCCCATCGGAGAGAGCTGCCCCTCCCGTCGGAGAGAAAAAGCACAATTCGTCGGGGAGAAAAACAAATTATATGTATTTTCTACATATTAGTAGACTCTAAAATCGATTAGGCATTTGAAACCCCTAAATTTTCAAAATTTTCAGAGGCTTCGCCCCCTGGACACTTTCGGACCTTTTATCAAAGATCGACCACGCCCACTTTGCTTTCGTCGGGGAAATCTGACCCCTCGTCGGGGGGGCATCGACCCCGCCCCCACCCCCGGAACGGGGTAGGGACGTTATTCCACTAATGTCATATTGAACCCGCATACCCCATGGATTTTCAATCAAGTTGAACTGTTAAACATGAGGTCTCTCCATCTGCTATACATCTTGGAATCCAAGAGCATCAGTTTACATAATATTGCAAATACCTTTAGAGTATTGCTACTTTTCAGAATTCGTTGCATGAAGCTATATTCTGATTTTTGCATAAACTCTTTAAAGTCAGACTCCGGAGGAAAACATTTTTTTGATATGTTGTAGAACTGATTTTTCTAAGACAGAAAAATGTTGTTTGACGAAAAACTGGGAAACGGTGAATGAGATATTTTTAAATTAATGATATTTTGAAATTAATGATATTTCACAATCCATCGGAAATGGTATCTGTAGCATTTTTGCTGATGATGTTGTTGTTTACACATCCAGTAACAACGTAACCATAATTAATGATTCATTACAAAATATAATGAACAATGTAAAAAAATGGTATGATGATAACCACCTTACCATTAATACCGATAAAACTAAAATAATGCTTCTCAGAAATAATCACTCTAGGACCATTAATAACACCTTAAATATTGTTCTTGATAACACAAAACTTGAACAAGTTTCCAGCATAAGGTACCTAGGAGTTATAATTGACGACACTCTAAGTTGGAAACAACATGTGCACAATATTTCTAAAAATGTGGGATTTAAAATTACAATGTTGGGCAAAATGTCAGGGTTTCTTAATAAATCACTATTAGAAACTCTGTACTTAAGTACTATTCAGCCTTATTCTGATTATGCAATAACTGTTTGGGGAAATTTGTCTGAACTTAATAAGAAAATTGTTAAAAGACACCAGAGAAGGGCGGCTCGTATTATTACGGGTAACTTTGATTATCGAAATATTAGAGGTGATGATATTATTCATTCTTTGTCCTGGCAATCGTTTGAAGAGAGAAGGGATTTTGCCATTGCGTGTCTTATGTATAAATGTATTCAAGGTCTTGCGCCGCAAAGGCTTTTAAATGAAATTGTATTAGTATGTGATAGGCACACACATTCAACCCGTAGTGGGAACTTACTTCGAGTGGTTACACCTAAATTTAACTCGTATAAAATGAGTTCGAGTCTTAAGGTTGCCGGAGCAAAAATCTGGAATGAATTACCTTCAAATATCACCCACTCACCCTCAATTTATTCTTAGGCTATGTTCACACACACGGCGTAAGGCTGGCTTAAGCCTGGCGTAGCGTACGCCTTTGTGTGTGAACTAGGCAGTGGCGTTGTTAAAGCCACTCATTACGCCACGTCCTTGGCGTTATTAACGCTACCTGCAGACCCCAGATTAGCTAACGCCACTGAGCTAACGCCAGTGATGCTTGAATGATTTGACCTCATTTCAAGAGATTGACCAATCACGATTGCAATATATTAGCTACTTTGGTCTCTTTTCTGTGCTCTCTATAAATGAAATGGTAAAGGGGTTCTTTTCTATTGCATTTTACTTAGTTATAATGTATATGATTTATTGATTGTGTTTTGTAAGATATTTTAACCATTTAGACTGTCTATTAAAACATGCAACATCAACAATGCTAGCTGAAAAATCAAAAGTAAAATTGTTCATTTAAAATACAATAATCATATAGGCCTAAGTTCACTTCGAACAATTCACACATTTAAAAGTTTTCATGATGCACTGTTAATTTTACTACTGTACTGTTAACACGTACATTATTTAAAACTGAAAACTATTCCACTCCACATAGGCCTAGGCCTATATTACTGCTAGTTTAACGAACGCCGTTTGTGTGAACACTTTGGAATTTTAATCCATGGATTAGCTTACGCCTGGCGTAAGACTTACAAGGCTCACTTCTTCCTCCTTAATTGATTTCTGGCCTTGTCTGATTACTATTTAGGTTTTCTGCTTTTGAAAAGCCGCACCCCCTGATTTGAGGTGGCGCCGTCAACTTAGCAGTGCACGGTAGGGGAGCCGCAGGCTTATCCTCGGTGGAAGCTACCAGAGCCCAGTAAACTGACGCCGAGGTACACGGTAGTGATGGCGGCGACATCTCAAAAGCGGGGGCGCGCGTATGCCATTTTCGTGATTTCTGAAGAGGAAATGGAGGAAAAAAAAAAGAATGAAAAAGGAAAGAAAAAAAAAGTGGAATTGGGGAGGAAAAGGGTTTCGAAATGATGATTATTATTATTAATGCCTGACTCTGGGTGTGTTCTTTTGTGTTTTGTTTATCATTATTATTTTTTTGTTGATGTTTATTATTATTGTTATTATGATTGTTTTATCATTATTAATAATAGTATTATTATTATTATTTTTTTCCAGGACCACAATGAAAAACATTTCTTTAAAATGATTGTGTCATCCTGGCTAAAGATATTAGTAAAGATACAGATTTTTTAATATTTAAAAACAGAGGGGAAAAGGGGCGTAACCGCCCATTTTTACACCTTTTCCCCCCAATTTTTAAATATTCAAAAATCTGTATCTCATTCACCGTTGCTCAGTTTTTGATCAAACTACTTTTTTCTGTCTTAGAAAAATCAGTTCTACAACATATCAAAGTTTGTTTTTCCTCCGGAGCCTGACTTTAAAAGATGGCACACCCTTTTCAACATACATCATGCTAGCACATGCTGTCACTACAGACAATCACATTATTGCCGTTAAAATAATTGATTATTGATTGTATTTTACCTAGATAATCAATAAAC